ACAGATATGCTGGCTGCTGCAGTTGAATCTGGTGTAGATGGTTTATCTTTATTATATGAACTATCAAGAAAACATGGATTGCTGCTAGCAGCAGAAACTCAGCATGTAGATACACCGCAAGTGAGCTGTATGGAGGATCTATCTATATTAAACCGTATAGATTCAGTTTTATCTTCTTCTTTATCTTCACATATGGGTACATTAACATTTTTTCATAATAGATTTTCTCATAAAATAAAAGAAACAGAACAAGAGCTACAGCTTTTGCCTGAGTTTAGGGGGATACAGGACGGGCAGCAGCTTGCTGCTGCAGCAGCAGATGTATTGATTATAGAAGCAGCAAACGAAGCAATTGAGGGGGGCCGTCGTTCTATACTACATTTGGCCTCAAGCACAAACGCTGTTGCTATGTTAGACTTTATGCGGCAGCAGAATTTCTTATATAAATATATGCGTGATGTATATGAAATACAGAAAGCTATATGCAAAGCAGAAACACAGCGACTGCAGCAGCAACAGCAGCAGCAGCAGCAGCAGCAGCAGGAGCAGCAGCAGCAGGAAGATATTAATATATTAAAAAATATAAAAGAAGCAGAGCAGCTGCTGCAGGAGGCTGAGAGGTATCTTAAACTCTATCACCAAGCTATAGATGAAATGNAGAAGCAGAGCAGCTGCTGCAGGAGGCTGAGAGGTATCTTAAACTCTATCACCAAGCTATAGATGAAATGCATAAGAAAGCAAACGTAACAGAAGCAAAATCAATACAAAACCAAGCAAAAGATATAGGAGAGAGAGTGCAGCAGCTGCTGGGGGATGTGGGGGCCCGTATAGGGTTTGTACCCGGGCCAGCAACAGCAGCAGCACTAGCTAAGCCTGCTTTAAAGCCACCAGAAGCACCACCACCACCAGCAGCAGCAGCAGCAGCAGCAGCAGCAGCAGCAGCAGCAGAAGAAGATCCAGAGGTACGTAAAGTAATGAAAGAGCTTGCTTCTCGTGCATGTCAGGATGCAGCAGCAGCAACAAGAAGAGCAGCAGATATTCAACAAAGAATGCATGCAAAACAAGATATGCATGCATCAAGTATACAGCAGCAGCAGCAGCAGCAGCAGCAGCAACAGCAGCAGATAGATTCCGTAAGAATGCATGCAACAAACCCCAAAATACGTCAGGAGATAGAGGATGCACTGCAGCAAATACAGAGAAAGGCTAAGGTTGCCTTTAATCAGGCTTTTAGTGCTTCTGTTTCACAAACAGACAGCAGCAACGAGGGGGGGGGCCCCACACCAACAGTAGCATTGATCGCCAGAAACGCAGCAGTAGAAGCAGAGATGCTGCTGGGTGAGGCAGAGCTGCTGTGGCTAAAGTGGCAGCTGCTAGAGGCCCTAGAAGATGATATAGGTTTGAGTGTACGTGTAGCTAGGAGAGCAGCAGCAGCACAGGAGCAGTGCGAGCAGCTCATGCAACAGCAGCANTGAGTGTACGTGTAGCTAGGAGAGCAGCAGCAGCACAGGAGCAGTGCGAGCAGCTCATGCAACAGCAGCAACAGCAGCAGCAGCAGCAGCAGCAGCAGCAGCAGCAGCAGCAGCAGCAGCAGCGGGAGCAGTTGCCGCCAGAGATGAATCCTCATAGAGACAAACAGTTTGAAACGCTGCTGCAGCGGCTCAACGCACACATGGAGAAAATAGCGCAGCAGCAGAATGTTGCTGATCTAGCAGCAACAGCAGCAGCAATGAAGGGTACTGCTGTGGGGCTTTGTACGCGAGTGCAAGAATACAAACGCATGCATGCAGCAAAGCGTCACGAATAGTTAATATATATTATTTTTTATTTATACACCAACAACAATACTCTTGGTGGAGAAGGTATAACACAGAAAAAAAAAAAACAAAACAAAACAGAGACAGAGACAGAAACGCTAAGATGAGGGAGAGAGACAAAGAGATAAGGGATAGGAGACAAGCCCCTATACATATACATATATATATATATAT